AATCGCAAAGCTGTGCAGCTAGCGAAACCATAATTCAATTAAGTTCCCACTTCAAGCTTGTAACGGTTCCCATGCCAGCTTGAGTCCAGGCTGCATGCAAAGCATGTCGACCAGCAGCTCTCGTCCATCACGACTCACAAAGTGAGCAGGCAAAATCCGCGTCACGAAGGCCCCCCCACGTTGCCAACACCGGTTCTCCAAGACCGGCCAACGTGTCACGAAGAGCCTCCCGCGGGAGCGCACGCATTTTATGGCTCGACTCAACGTGCGTCCAAGCACCTGTTGCACTGATGGCAACACTCTGGGTTCACTCCAGCGATCCCTGCCTCCTCTGTGCGAACAAAATTAGAGGACAGGTAACGACCGCACATCAAAGTTTTCTCATCACGGATAACATGAGTTATGCCAGAAACTTTATGAGTCCAGCAAGCCGTCAAGTCCACGCCCTTAAAAGGCGACCTGACCTTAGCCCCGACTGGCAGCTGCAAGCTGTCCTCCGGCGCCTCTGATCCAGAGCTCAGACTGCCGGCCTCGGAATCAGCACCATCAGGCTCTGGGCCCTCAAGCGCGGCAGTCCTGCCACGTTGTGCGATTCTCGGATCATCCTCGGCCTCGTCGTCGACATGGGCCAGCCGTTGCGCGATGACCTTCATTCTTTCGACTGCCCTCATGTCGGGGTCGAAAGATCCCGACCGGATAGAATCAAACATTCCCAAAACTCGCCCGTACAAGGCCACATAGGCGTCCTTGGAGTAAATGACCACGGACTTGTTCTCCTGATCCAAGTGATGTCCAAGAAGACGACGCTCTGCGTGGGAAAACACAACCGGGTGGGACTTGCCCGCCCAGCTCAACAAAGTCCTCTTCAGCGAATGGGTACCCAAGTCCTTCAAGTCACCACTCTCATTACACATGTTCTGGAGAAACTCCCTCAAGTAGATACTAGCCTCTGAAGCCGACATCCTCTGCGACCCCCAGGCTCCCTTCCGCTCACAGAAAGTGGGGAGGAATGGATCACCATTGGCAAGGCCCTCTTGTTGGCGAGCCTTAATCCAAGCAGCAGCCCACGGGTGCCCAGATAGTCCCAGCCCTACCCCGACATAGGGAAGCAGGGTAGTTTTGGCCTTGGCCGTAATTGTTGTCTTGGAAGTCAGCGCCTCACCGTAGACCAAAGCATCACCTGTAGCCGGGTCAATCTCCAGGTCAACATGTCTCAAGGTTTGCAGGTCTCGCCATCTGGCCCCCGAATGGAAGCAGAAAAGAAGTTGTCCAGCAATGCATGCATGCCTGCTCGAGGCCCGGATGACAAAGAGCTCCAAGTTCTCGACCTGGCCCCGAGTGAGGGGGCTCTTCTGCTTTAACGGCGCCTTCAAGACGTGCATCGCCTGGGCCAGCCCTCGACACCTCGAGGAAAGAATGTCTTCAATGGAGACGTGAATCAGCACGACCACCCCATCGAGGAATCTCAAAGCTTCCACAAGATGACTTCCCGAAGTGGCTCC